TAGTATCAGGATTGGAAGAAGGGTTATTAATAAATTGCAATATGCAGACGACACAACTTTGCTGAAAGTGAGGACATGAATCATTTGCTGATGAAGATAAAGGACTGCAGCCTTCGATATGGATTGCAATTCAATGCAGAATTTCTTCTGACCCTTAACCAAAGATTTAGATAATCTTGCCCCAGGCAGAGTGCATTGGACAGTAGATTACCTCCACTATTCTCCAGCCAGCCCAAAGTGGGGCAGTCTTTTAGGGGTTGGCCTGGGATCCCCTTGATGGACAGTACTGGGATCAAATAGTCTTGAGTCATGCCCTATCAGTTTTGTCCCAGCTACAAATATGGGAATGAGACTATGATTGGGTTATGCATACTAATGCAGATTAGAAAAATGTACAAGATTGGTTCAGAGGCCCTCTGACTACCTTGATAGGGGGCATGACTTTGGACCCTATGGTTCTGGTATCCCTGTTTCCTAAGTGCATGGCCAGAAAAGTTCCTGAAAGGAGAATCCTCTATCTGAGGACAAAACTTGTTAACAGTGCCAGTGAGTGGTCAGAATGAACTCAATGGAAATTGAATTTATGTCAAGGCTGAAAATGGAGTTGGGGCATGTACTGTAAACCAAGTGCTTAGAATTTTGGCTTTAGAATGAGTTATGGGGTACTCGTTCTTATTTTTTAGAAGTTTGGACTGAATGGAAATTAATTCTTTCAGTATTTGGTAGAATTCACCAATGAAGCCATTTGTTCCTACGCTGTCCTTTGTTGGGAGATTTTTTAAATTTCTAATGCGATCTCTTCACTTGTCACTGAGCTGTTAAGATTTTCTATTCTTGAGTCAATTTAGGTAGTTTATATTTCTAGGAATTTATCCAAGATTTTTGTAACTCTACTCATAAGGAATATTGATCTGTCAGTTTCCTTGGGTTTTTATCTTGTTCTAGGGGAGGTTAAAATTTTTTTCAAACATATCCCAAAACTAATTTTTTTAGTGTATAGTTATCCATAATAATCCTTATTTCTATAGAATCAGAATTGTTCTTTATTTTTTATTTTAAGTATTTGTAACTTGTTTCTTTTTCAATCTATCAAAGAAGTTTGTCAATTAAAAAAAGTTTCCTTGTGATTTAGGTGACAGCTTACAAAGCAAATTGGTTTCATATTAAATCACTCATGCAAATTTTGATTCAGGACATTGACTACAATCCTCATGCCACTTCCTGCCCGTGTTCAGCATTACTTTTATCTTTCCTTTCCCTTCTGGCCTTTTGAGAAGATGCTGCCCTTTTGATCTCATATGGCTAATTAAGTTTGTCCATTTTATTGATCTTAAAAAAAAACAGTTTCTGAGTTCACTGATTCTATTGTTTGTCTGTACTTATGCTTAGTTTCCTTTTTTTTTTTTTTAGGTCCTCCAAGTGTCCTTAGGTTACTGATTTATAATCTCTCCTTTTTCATTTTAATCATTTTATTAGGGGCTCATACAGCGTATCACAATCCATAACATACATCAATTGTGTAAAGCAGATTTGTACATTCATAGCCCTCATTATTCTCAAAACATTTGCTCTCCACTTAAGCCCCTGGCATCAACTCCTCATTTTCCCCTCCCTCCCTGCTCCCCCCTCCCTCATGAACCCTTGATAATTTATAAATTATTATTTTGTTATATCTTGCCCTGTCCGACGTATCCCTTCACCCACTTT